CTCAATCAATCAATCAATCAATCAATCAATCAATCAATCAATCAATCAATCAATCAATCAATCAATCAATCAATCAATCAATCAATCAATCAAAAAGGCTAAAGTCCTACTACTTTATTCTCCCTTTGATCTTTGATATCCACAGTGGGTGGTTGGCGGGTGCTCTAATGTGGTTTGCTCCTTCTTTCTTATCAAACATCTATCGTCCTTATCTGCCCCTTCTTCTTTCCTATCAAACATCTATCGTCCTTATCTCTCTCCTTCTTTCCTATCAAACATCTATCGTCGTTATCTCTCCTCCTTCTTTCCTATCAAACATCTATCGTCGTTTTCTCTCCTCCTTCTTTCCTATCAAACATCTATCGTCCTTATCTCTCCTCCTTCTTTCCTATCAAACATCTATCATCCTTATCTCTCCTCCTTCTTTCCTATCAAACATCTATCGTTCTTATCTCTCTCCTTCTTTCCTATCAAACATCTATCGTCCTTATCTCTCCTCCTTCTTTCCTATCAAACATCTATCATCCTTATCTCCCTCCTTCTTTCCTATCAAACATCTATCGTTCTTATCTCCTCTCCTTCTTTCCTATCAAACATCTATCGTCCTTATCTGCCCCTTCTTCTTCTTTTTTTTTGTATGTTACTCTCTTGTAACACCTCTAATCTTCGGCACTTATATGACCTATTTGTGTTGCAAGTGCCGTAAAATTCTTACTACAACTAAACTTAACAGACAAGGTCGAAGCTCGCCTTCTGTGTGATCTAAATTGTGTCGATTGGGCAGTAAAAACACCTGCATTTGAATTTATTTTTCGTAAAAGAAATATTTATAAATTCGTTAAATTAAAAAAGCAATAACTCTTGCAATGTCCCTATCTTTGGGCAGTGGCGTCGGTGGTCTAGTGGTTAGGCTACCTGACTGGTAATCGTGAGATTGCAGGTTCGGGGGTTCGAGCCTCAGCTCAGTCCGACGTTGTGTCCTTGGGAAAGGAGGCACTTTATCCACATCTAGTGTTGATAGGGGCGTTAAACTCATACCATTTGACCAGTTCACCACATCTCCCATTAATTGGCCCGGTCCTTTCGGAGATATACGTCACAGTAAAAGTTTAGTAAGATAGGGTTTATAAACCCGTACTATTTCACATTGATTTTATTCATTTACAGCCCGTGAACCGCGAGAAGGGAGGAGTGAGGATTGAGCTGCGAGAAGAGAGGAGTAAGGAGTGATTAGTGAGGAGTGAAGAGTGTGGAGTCTGGAGTGATGAGAGAGGATTGAGCCCTGAGGAGTAAGGAGTAAGGAGTGACCTGTGAGGATTAAGGAGTAAGGAGGAGAGAGGAGTGAGAGGAGAAAGGAGAGGAGAGTAGGGAGTGAGAAGTAAGGAGTGAGGAGTGACCTGTGAGGAGTGAGGAGAAGAGAGGAGGAAGGAGGAAGGAGTGAGAGAGAGGAGGAAGGGGTGAGAGAGAGAAGAGAAAATGTCTGGCGGTGTGAGGAACCTGACTAGCCTCCCCTTCCTGGCCACGCTGTCGTGTCTGGTGTTGACCTTGCTGGTCCTGGTCAGGCTGGGCGTCCTTGACCTTGGCAGGGGGAGTGACCCCTTGATCTCTGACCCCATTGACCCCACCGGCCAGTACCGCCGCGTGTTTACCATCAGGGATGTCAGCAACAAGGACAACAACAACAACAACAACAACAACAACAACAACAATATCGACAATGACATAAAAAACAACAACATTATCAGCAAAAATGATAACAATAATGACGTAAACAACAATGATAACAACAACAACAACTATAATTATAATAACATAAACGGCAACGACAACAATTATAATGACATCAACGTTAACAGCAACAACAACAACTACAACAACAACAACTACAACAACAACAACAACTACAACAACAACAACAACAACAACAACAATGACGACGTTGACCACCACAGACCTTACACCAACGTACAAGTATCGCCGCGGCCGGTACTCGCCCCAGCTCCCCCCTCCTTGGATCGAATCGACGAGGACCCGGGTATCAACGACAGCGGGACTCGATTCGACAGCGAGGAAGAACTGATGGAGAGCAACGACGCTCAAAAACGATACCAAATCACGGGGCAGAACGGCTTCATTTCTTGCATCATGTCGTGTAACGTGACGGCGACCGACACGGATGACAGTAGGAAAGCGGCGTGCGTGCACCGCTGCCAGGCGGCGCAGACCGGGTTCGAAACCCACGATATCGATTCTCACCTCCGAACCCCATCGCCTTTCGATACCTCCGAACTCCCCGATACCAGCGGAATCGACCCGGGCCTGACGTCATATCTCAAAAGGAACATCCAGCGAGAGATTGACCGACGCAACGCCGTGCTCACTCTTCTCACGTCACCGGTGATCAACGCGCGTGAGTACACCTACCTCCACAACGTGCCGGACCTGTGCCAGAGGTCTGAGACGATCATTCTATTCGTAATCCCCTCCGCGCTCACCAATTTCGGGAAGCGCGCGCGCGTGAGAAGCAATAACTACGCGCGCTTCGTCAAGGACACCCAGAACAAAGCTAAGATGGCGTTCTTCGTCGGAATGGTGCCCGCCTCCTTCAACGACACGTATCGATACCAGGTGCAGAAGAGGATCGATATGGAGTTCGCGCAGTTCGGCGATATCATCCAGGCCGACTACGAGGACGAGTATTCGAACATGTGGTACAAAACACAGTCGGTGCTAAAGTGGGTCACTTCCTACTGCGGAAGCGTTCAGTACGTCATCCGCACCGATGACGACATACAGATTCATACGCACCGCGTGCTGGCCGCACTATTTTTCGCGGAGGGACACCACGACCACTTTGTGATGGGCGTGCGGCGGAGGAATTCCAAACCGCAGCGTATCGATACCGGCAAGTGGTACATCTCTCTGGAGGAGTACCCCGAAGAGTTTTTCCCGCCTTTTGTGATCGGGGGCCTGGTCGGTCTGCCTGGGAGGACGGCCAAACTGTTGTACGAGGCGTCTAGGAGGGTGTCCAAGATCTGGTTGGACGATGTCTACTTCACGGGGATCCTGACTCACAAGCTCAACTTGCCCGTCTTGTCAGATCCCGACTTCACCTTTGCGCATTTTCCGAAGGGGAATAAGAGGAGGGTTCCCCAGACCTTCTGACATGTGGGGGGGTGTGTGTGACACAGAGAGAGAGAGAGAGAGAGAGAGAG